AGCCTCAGCCAGTTTTATTACCTTTTATTAACTTGATCTTTGTTTGAAATGATTTTTCAATGCCTGTGTATTTATTTATTCGTAAAGCATTAAAGTTTATTTCAGTGGGACCATCCAATTGCTGTCTGACAGCTTAATGACAAGGTAAAAAGGATGGTTTTTTTTTCTCCCAGAAGGTCATTTTTGAAAAAAATCATAAGTGTTCCAAATATTTGACAATGCTATTCCATGTCTTGTGAACTCTGTACCGAGAAGGCATTGTTTTTGATTGGGGAGCAAAGAGGACGCATGGAAGTTGTGACATGCATGGGAATATGAGGCAGTATGGAAGTGGTATTGGAGATATGGAGACATGGGTTTTCTGTCACTGCTACCTTTCAGGGACTTTAGACCTAAATGATGAGAGGTAAGGTCCCACATCAATCACTCAGTCAAATCAATTTGCTTTATAATAAATGAAGCACTTTTGAATGTAGTCACTGTTGTAAAAAGCAGCCAATTTGTGCAAAGCAATGTCCCACAAACATCAATAAAACTACAATGTCTTATTGTTTTACTGATGTTGTTTGAGGGATTAATATGGCCGGGACTCCAGTGATAATTCTCCTTCTACAAAATTGTGATTGAGAATCTTTTGCATCCTGCTGGGCGAACATGCTAAACTATGAGAAAATGTCTCCTGCAAAAGACTTTACCTCGAACAGTGCATTACTCCTTCAGTACTATCAACCTATAATTTTTGTTTGGGTTTCTGGAGTGGAATTTAAATCAACGACCTTCTGAATCAGATGTGAGCTAACATGTAATTAGAGGAAATGGTTATGAAATAATTGTCCATGTAAATGACTTGGCTTTGAAAGTCTCTCCAGACATTTTCTTGTTTTGAGTAGTTAGTTATTCTGCTTAGGAGATAGTTACACTTGATAGTTATTTCTTTCATTAATTTGTCATGAGTGGAACAACCACAAATGCTGTGTATGTCAGATTGTGTTCACTGGGATAAATGTATGAATGACGATATGAGATTCTAAAGTAACCTCAAACATCTATCACCTTGGATAGGCATTACAGGTTGTATGCTGATACTCACTGAAATTTTAGAATATGTAAATTTTCGAACATCATCACATCACTTTTCAGTCCTTATTTTGTATATACAAAACACAATGGAAAGTCCCCCTATTTGGCACAGTTTTAGAGAATACCAAATCGAAGACTGAAACTTAGTACAATTACCTTACTCCTGAATGTTTTAACCCTAACCAGCCAGCAATACCCAAAGGCCTCTCTACCCTTTCAGCTGTTACGACTGGGGTGTTGTATAGCCGTGTCAGTTCAGATTGGCTTGTAATATCATGAGGAAAAGTACGATCTCCACCCGAACTAAAACCTAAACAATAAAAATCAGAATTTATAATTAATGCAAATCATTATTGCTTGCATCAAACCACACAGTTAACATCAGAATTAATGTGTTAATAGTCATTTGGTGTTAGAGAACTTGAATGTCTTGGAAAAAAATGATTTTTTTATAACACGGCACCTTGCACTTATCAGCAGAATTTGCAAGAATACTTTTTTAAAAAGAAACATTCACTTGATGTGGGAGTCAGTGGTTGGCCAGCATTTGTTCCCCATCCCTAGTTATCTTTGAGAATGTTATGGCCAGTTACCTTCTCGAACCACTGCTGTCCTTTAGTGTAGCCACATCTACAATGCTCTTTCCAGGATTTTGACCCAGTGATGAGGAAGGAACAGTAATATATTTCCAGTCAGAACGGTGAATGGTAGAACTTGCAGGTGATGGTGTTCCCATGCGTCTGTTGCCCTTGTCCTTTTAAATGGAAGTGGTTGTGAGTTTGGAAGGTGCAGTCTAAGGAGCTTTGGTGAACTTCTGCAATGCGTAGAAGGATGGCACATGTTGGTGATGGTGGAGGGAGTGAATATTTGTTGATGTTGTGCCAATCAAAAGGGCTCCTTTGCCTTGGATGGCATCAAGCTTCTTGAGGTTGCTGGGGCAGCACTCATCCAGGCAAGTGGGGAGGTTTCCATCACACTCCTGACTTAAACCTTGTAGATTGTCGCCAGGCCTTGGGGAGTTATTCATTGTGGGCTTCCTAGCTTCTGATCTGCACCTTGTAACCACAGTATTTATATAACAACTCTCGGTAAATTACTGGTCAATGGTAATCTCCAGGATGTTAATATCGAGGAATTCAGTGATGGTAATGCTATTGACTGTTAATGGAAAATAATTTTTGTAGAGTATCAGTGGTCATTATTTAGAGTCATAGAATCATAGAGATGTACAGCACAGAAACAGACCCTTTGGTTCAACTCATCAATGCTGACCAGATATCCAAAATTAATCTAGTCCCATTAGTCAGCATTTGTCCCATATCCCTCTAAATCCTTCCTATTCATATATCCATTCACATGGCTTTTAAATGTTGAAATTGTACCAGCCTCCACCATTTCCTCTAGCAGTTCTTTCCATACACACACCACCCTCTGGGTTAAAAAGTTGCTCCTTATGTCCCTTTTAAATCTTTCCCCTCTCACCTTCGACTTATGCCTTCCAGTTCTTGGCCCCTCTACCCTGGGGAAAACCATTGATTATTCACCCTATTCATGCCCTCATGATTTTATAAACGTCTATAAAATCACCCCCTCAGCCTTTGAATCTCCAGGAAAAATAGCCCCAGCCTATTCTGCCTCTCTGTGTAGCTCAAACCCTCCAAACCTGGCAACATCTTTGTAAATCCCTTTCAAGTTTAACAACATCTTTTCTATAGCAGGAAGACCAGAATTAAATGCAGTATTCCTAAAGTGGCCTAGCAATGTCCTGTACAGCGTCAAACATGACCTTGCAACTCCTATACTCAATGCACTGAACAACATAGGCAAGTACACCAAATGCCTTCTTCACTACCCTGTCTACCTGCGACTCTACTTTCAAGGAACTATGAACCTGCACTCCAAGGTCTCTTTGTTCGGCAACACTTCCCAGGACCTTACCATTAAGTGTATAAGTCCTGCCCTGATTTGCCCTACCAAAATGTAGCACTTTACCTTTATCTATATTAAGCTCTATCTGCCACTCCTTGGCCCATCTGATCCAAGGTCCAATTTTACTCCAACATAACCTTCTTAGCTGTCCACTACACCACTAATTTTGGTGCCATCTGCAAACTTATGAACCATATGTTCTTTATTCATATCTAAATTGTTTATATAAATGACAAAAAGCAGAGGACCCAGCACCAATCCTTGTGGCACATTGCTTGATCACAGACCTCCAGTCTGAAAAGCAACCTTCCACCACCACCCTCTGCCTCCTACATTCCCACTATAATAGAATTTAGAGCAGACCAGGAGAACCTGCAGACAGAATGTGTGAGAGGATTTGGAACGGTCTCTAGTTTGCGTAAATTTCAGGGCACCGTTGGATTATAAGCCGTGTGGTGGTCAGAGCATCAGTGAAGCATGCTGGGATTTCACACGTTCACAGCCCCTTGGGGCTTCTGATCACCATATCTTATCTAAATCCCATTTTAGAGGAGGGAATGAGGCCAGCACAAACATTGCCAAGTCTAAATCACCATTCTAAGGCTTAGTGCTTAAACAACAGAGAAAAAAGGGTTAAAATTTACCCACTCAGACACTGCCTATGCTGGAGTCAGAGAGAACACAGCGTGGAGCTGGAGGAGCACAGCACGCCAGGCAGCATCAGAGGAGCAGGAAAGTTGACGTTTCAGGTCAGGACGCTTCTTCAGAAAATTTTCTGAAGAAGGTTCCTGACCCAAAACGTCAACATTCCTGCTCCTCTAATTCTGCCTGGCATGCTGTGTTCCTCCAGCTCCACACTCTGTTATTTCTTAAAATTGACCCAATTGTTTGCCAATGTTAGACCTAGTGTATTAATCAAGTAAATAGACACTAAGACCTGCAGATGATGGAAATATGAAGCCAAAACAGAGAGAAAGGTTCTGAGGAAGTGTCACTGGACTTGAAACATTAACTCTGTTTTCTCTTTACAGACACTGCCAGACCAGCTGAATTTCTCAAGCCCTCTGGTTTTGTATAATCAAGTATGTTAAGGCGGCAGTTGTAATTTATGGTCATTCTACAACTTGAATCAAGCTAGCGCATTGTTTATACGAAAGTTTCTGTTGTGTTACAGACTGGCTAGTCATGTTTTAGTATAATAGGCAGATCTGACACAGAATGGGTCTTTGCATTAAGCCTTGATCACAGGGTTCTTTGCTTTATGATCTGCAGAATCTACGTCTAATGTGCCTCAATGTGGTCTTCATATTATCAGTCACATTGGCTGTTGGAAGATACACAATTATTTAATAATTAGCGGAGCTAGAGTTCTAATAAATATCTAAATGCTTAAATACTCACTTGGAGCTGCAGTAACAGCACAGAAGCAAATGGCAAGAATCCCCAGGAGCATGATTCTTTTAATGTCAGTTCCTACCGGGTGCAAAATTAAATAATATATTCAACTTGCAATTGAAGTTAAAGGCTAAACAAACCAAATCTTTGCATTTTGTCCAGCAGAAAAACCTTGCACCTAAATAAGAATTTGTGCTGGTAAAATTCTTATATTCTAACATTTCCCACCCTCCCCACCCCATTTCTATTTGTAAAATAAAATCAACAGTCGCACAGAGTTTGATTTAATTCTCAAGTTTATCCGAAATTCGTAATTATTGTTCTTTTATTTCCAAATTCCATTAATCGATCAATTTACCTGAGGCTTAGAAGAGCAAGAGCTGTGTTTTCACGGAGATGATTTGATCTTGCTTCTGATATCAGATTCTTTGTGTTAGGACACTCTGCAACCCTGAATTTAAAGAAATAATTTCCTTACGTCACAGATTGTCTGACTGACTATTACACCTGTCTAAACAACACAAACTATTGGGACATACTGATAAGGACGTCTGTCACAATAAATTGAAAAAATTAACAAAACCTTACAAAATTAGCTTGGTACACAGATTCTGCTGAAGCAAGAAATAAATATACTTTTTGTTTTGACATGGCCAATGTGTTTGCTTTATTTATCTAGATAGATGTTTGGGGTAGATGCATTCATTAGCGATGTAATGAGTGAAGAGTTTGGGATTTTATCAACATTGTAAAAGAGGGAATACTTTAACTGTGGCTTAATTCAAATTCTGCTTTAATCAGATAAATACAACCTAAATCAGGCCAGGCTGAACATATAAAGCCAACTCAATCATATTGTCTAAATCATAAAAGTACACAGCCATATAATAAGGGGCAACACTGAAAAGAAGCACCTTGACAAACAATTGAAAGAAAATTAACACACACCCTCCTCCTCAACATTGAGACGTGGGGTATTGTGCTATGTGTAACTTCCTTTCACTCTGTAAAGGTCCATAACTTTCTCCGAAATATAATTATGAGCTCGGGCTTGCTCGTTGTAGACCCTTCAGCCCTTATGCCCTTTGATTGGAGATCCTGGCTGTAACATTCTGCAACAGGGAGAAAAGATGGAAAATATAATTGATGGCTGCAAACACAACAAAATCATGAGGCAGTGGGACATCATGAGCTGGAATGTTGTTCAAAGCTGCTGGAAAAGCAGGTATTAAGGGGATTCAAGTGAGTGCATAATTAAAACCCTTCCTGTTGACCTTAGTACATACCTTTAACAGCACTCAGTATGAAAAGGAGAAAGTGTATGTTTGGATTCAGCGCGATGATCTACAGTGATGATGCCATGGATCGATTTGTCAGACAGCCTGTCCCAAATCCATACAGCCAGGGTCTTGACAAATTTGTCTTAGAGCCAAAAGCATTTCCCTTTGGCACTCCTGTGATCCGTGGACCAAACTGCAGTTTCATCTGCTGGGGTTAAGGACATATCAGTTTTCTACCTTAAAGGTTAGGGTAGGGTTAGAAATTATGCAGACTAGAGTAATGTGAACTTATGGATTGCATACATACAGGTATTGCATTTTGGAACCAGATGATCACTGAGAGAATCCTGTCTTTAACATCCAACTTCTATCTTCCTGGAAGTGATTTTGCTTTTGATCACTTGGCGCAGTATCACCGACGATTAGGGAGAAATGAACTCCAGTTCATGAAGCCATATTTCTAAATCTTATACATAAAGACATGTGGACTAGCAAGGATTTAGCAGTGCAGTTTGCTGTGTACCAATTTTCTGAGCACTCTTTCCATTTCCTGAAAGACTGGCCTGGGACTTTAACCTTGATCTTCTGACCTAGAAGTAGGGACCATATCACTATAACAAATGACAGCAACTCTGCAAATCTATTATAAATACCTTCTGAGAGGTGTAAAAGTCAAACCATTTCCTCTGAAGATCAAAGGCAATTCTATGTCTTAGAATTGTTTCCTCCAAGATGTTTAATCTTGTGCTTTGTAAAAGATCAGGAAGTTTACACTGATCTTACACAAGGCTTGGTGAGATCTCAGCTGGAAAATTGTGTGCAGTTCTGGAGCCACACTTCAGGAATAATGACAATACATTGGAGACAGTAAAGAAGAGGCTTATGAGAGTGGTTCCAAGGTTGAGAACCTGCATTAATGAGGATAGATTGGAGAATTTGGAACTGATTTCCTTGTAATGGAGAAAGCTGAGGGGAGTTTTGATAGAAATTGTTAAAATCATGAAGAGTCTGGACAGAGATAGGGAGAAATTGTTCATGCTCTTAAAAGGATTGAGAACCACAGGGCAAAGTTTAAAGTGTCCTCCAATGGAAGCAAATGCAAGAAATTGTTTTCTCACGTAGTAAGCCATTTGGGCTTGTAATGCAGTGTCTGGAATTGTGGTGGAGGCAGCTTCGATTAAAGCATTTGAGAGGACATTGGATGATTGTTTAAACAGAAACAATGAGCAGAGGGCTGGGAAAAAGGTAAGAGTTTGCACTAATTTGAATTGCCCAGTCACAATGGAGCAAATTAATTCCTTCAGCATCATGGCAGTTCTGTGGCTTTATGTTTTTGCCATGGTAGATGAGTTTTGCTCTACATATAGTTCTTTTCAACTATTTACAATTTCTGGAAGCATTGTTTGGAAGAATCAAATGCAAATTAAACTAAAAACCTTGGTATTTCGTACCTGTTTATCAACTTTTAGTCCTATTGACATAAAACTATCAATATGTTATAAAAGTGACCCCCAAACCAATTATGAAAGGTACTTTTCAATAATTCATTATGAGATATAATCCAAAAATACCTAAGAGTATTGATCTAAACTTTTACTGGAACCTTAGTATTCTTGATCCCTAAAGTTGTTGCAATCATTTTAGACAAATAATTTTATAATTGTTACACACCAATACTTTTAGATATAAAAGACAAGAATTAGTTATTTGGAAAATGACAATCTAAAAGATATTCTGGAAAAAGGAAAAAAAAGCCAACACCTTACTAAACTTTGCTTTAGTTAAATATTTACGGACATGTGTTTTAAAATGTTTGAATGGTAAGTTTGTAATAAAGATGAATCCGGGGCTGCTTAACTTGGCCACTGTTTAAATATTGTTACAGAGGGGGAATGTCTGAACCCCTCTGATCATTAAACCAAAACACATGCCCCAGCCTGTTGACAGGAGTAGATGTTCCCTTTTAAGAATTATCCCCGAAACACCCAGAGAAGCTTGCTTTTCCCCTTGCAATTTGTTAAAGGAGTAGTTAAAAGAAAGAAAATCCCTGATATCCACTTTACAAATAACAAGCAACAATTTATTTGCTTAGCCCTAACAATGAACAAATTAACAGAATTACTAACAAACTGAATAATTCCCCCAGACTACTAACTACTTCCTAACTGGTCTAAATTCTACTGGAATGCTGTTCAAATAAACACAAGTCGTACTTGTACAAGAGATAGTAGGAACTGCAGATGCTGGTGAATCCGAGACAACAAGGTGCAGGGCTGGATGAACACAGCAGGCCAAGCAGCATCATAGGAGCAGAAAGGCTGAC